CGATTATGATCCATGGGCTCTCGGTGCGGGGCAACAACAACAACAACAGCAACAACAACAACAACAACAACAACAACAACAACAACAACAACAACAACAACAACAACAACAACAACAACAACAACACCATCAACAACACCAACAACAAAAACAACAACAACAACAACAACAACAACAACAACAACAACAACAACAACAACAACAACAACAACAACAACAACAACGTCAGCAACAACAGCAACAACAACAACAACAACAACAACAACAACAACAACAACAACAACAACAACAACAACAACAACCACAACAACAACAACAACAACAACAACAACAACAACAACAACAACAGCAACAACAACAACAACAACAACAACAACAACAACAACAACAACAACAACAACAACAGCAACAACAACAACAGCAACAACAACAACAACAACAACAACAACAGCAACAGCAACAACAACAACAACAACAACAACAACAACAACAACAACAACAACAACAACAACAACAACAACAACAACAACAACAGCAACAATAACAACAACAACAACAACAACGAGAACAACAACAACAACAACAACAACAACAACAACAACAACAACAACAACAACAACAACAACAACAACAAGAACAACAACAATAACAACATAACTAGAGTAGATTACCGTGTGATTCGAGGAAGAGGTCGGCGTGGTAGTCCAGCAGGAGCTTCATCAGTTTGACCTCTTCTCTGTTGTAGTGTGCACAGTCACTTGTCAGGTCAGCCGCCAAGTGCAGAGCCGACTCACCCTCCTAACGTAAAATCATTCGTGAGATCACAAAATCGTGATAGGAACAATTGTAACATTAGTCAATTTTAACCAATTATTATCGAACATTTTTAAGTTTCAACGAGACTTAAAACGATTTTCTAAATTAACCGATATGTTCAATAAAAGTTGCAAAACATTATGGAAGCAAAAAAATGTATCTAGCTGGCAATTCGTTAAAAAAAGCCATTGAAGAGTCTGCACAACCAAATGTCGGATTCTAGTCACTAGAACTGCATATATCAAAACACATAAATGCGTTCAATCATTCGAATCGTTTTTAAGTTAAGCCAAATGTTCATCTAAATTATTGCGCAGTGTACATGTGGATTTCTTAACCGCTAAAATGGTTTTCATGCTGGGAGGGGGAGGGGGGTCATTAGTAGGTAGCATTGAGGGATAAATAAGCAGATCCGCTCGTGACCCCTTAACCGTTCAGTACTTCTTTTAAAAAAACATCATGTGACCATAAACCAGTGATCAAATGCGACCAAAACCAATTAGGGTATTATGAAATCCATAGATTGTCCAATTGGTGTATGTGAGTGATAGTGTATAAATGCAGGGGCGGATTTAGGGAGGGGGGACGCCCCTCCTGGATTCGATCACCTCACCAGCCAAAGGCTTCCCTTTGATATTATTTTGTGACATCCATTTTCGGCCGCCCAACCCTAAACGTTTCTAAAGGTGCGTTCGGCGCCAATGTATTCTAATTTTGAAGAGCGGAGCGCGCGCCGATAAAATGCAATAATTTTTTGATCAAATTTTCCAAAAATTTCTCAAAAACAGAATTTTTGACCGTTTTTTTTCAAACGTTTTCCTGTGGCGCTAAATTTTTTGTCAAAATACGGTCTTTATAATTCTCGCTCGGAAAATCAACTTTATCTATACCTAGAAAAAGGTCGACAAATTTTTGAAAATTAGCCTTCTCCCCCCCCCCCCCCCTCGCCTCGAGAAAATATAGATCCACCCCTGTATGTATGTGTACTGTTTGTGTAACCTTGTTTCCACAGTTGACGAGATCGACAGCGTGTTGTGTGGTCATCTCCTGCACAGTGTAGAGGAGGAGTCTCTGGACCACCTCCAGCTGACAGTACCTCACTCCAATGTGCACAGCTGTCTCGCCACTCTACACACAACAACCACCAAGTTATCCGATAGACCGAATCGAGCATCTTTGAACAGTCTGCACTTTTTATATCTCATGCGATCACTATACGCCCTAACGCACTGTTCATTGTAACAATAACAATCGCTTAGATACATTTCAACACACCAACTAAACTTAACTTTTTCATTGACATAAAAAAAAACAATTCATATTCTAAAAGGAAGCACAACTTGGTCCAATTGATTTATTATGAAAGATAATTTTTGCGGAGCCGATTCGATTGAACTTGTTTGCAGATTCCATTTCAGAGAAATTTGGGAAAAATGTATATCTCTGACATTCAATCACTCCAGTGATCTTCTGCCCTTTGCTTTTGTGTCTCTTTGATTGACACTTCACTAGCCTGGGACTGTATGGTGGGGTCGGTGTCCTCCTGGAGGAGACAGTGGAGGACTTTGATGTTGCCACACCTGGCGGCCACGTGCACAGGTGTCTCCCCCTCACTGTCCTGTGCATTCACATCCGCCCCACTCTTCACGAGCATCTCCGCCACACGCTCCCCGCCGTCCATCACCTATACACACACAGAGAGAAAGAGAGAGGCACTGACAAAAGCTTCAAGTATATTTACCAGGGGCGGAATTAGGGGGGGGCGGAAGGAGGACGCTCCCTCCTCCCTCAGGGATTCGAGCCCCTGTCGACACAAAGAGTCACCCATTTGCCCCCTTTTGTACTATTTTGAGATATACATTTTTGGCTGATGGACCCTAAAATTTTTCTAAAGGCGCCTTTGGCGACAAAGTATACTAATTTTGAGGGGAAGCGCGTGCCGAAAAAACGCATTTTTTTTGGTAAACATTTTCCAAAAGGAGACTAAAAACGCCTTTTTGGCCTGTTTTTTTTTTCAAAATTTTATCTGCGGCGCAACATTGTTAATCAAAATTGGATCTTTTTGTTTTTGGTTCATTATAGGGAGAGCTCAGAAAATCAATTTGTTCGACCTAAAAAAACTGGGTCTTTATTTTTTTAGGCTCGGAAAATCAATTTGGTCGACCTAAAAAAACTGGGTCTTTATATTTTAGGCTCGGAAAATCAATTTGATCGACCTAAAAAAACTGGGTTTTTATAGTTTTAGGCTCGGAAAATCAATTTGGTCGACCTAAAAAAAACTGGGTCTTTATTTTTTTAGGCTCGGAAAATCAATTTGGTCGACCTAAAAAAACTGGGTCTTTATATTTTAGGCTCGGAAAATCAATTTGATCGACCTAAAAAAAACTGGGTCTTTATATTTTAGGCTCGGAAAATCAATTTGATCGACCTAAAAAAACTGGGTTTTTATAGTTTTAGGCTCGGAAAATCAATTTGGTCGACCTAAAAAAAACTGGGTCTTTATTTTTTTAGGCTCGGAAAATCAATTTGGTCGACCTAAAAAAACTGGGTCTTTATATTTTAGGCTCGGAAAATCAATTTGATCGACCTAAAAAAACTGGGTTTTTATAGTTTTAGGCTCGGAAAATCAATTTGGTCGACCTAAAAAAAACTGGGTCTTTATTTTTTTAGGCTCGGAAAATCAATTTGATCGACCTAAAAAAATTGGGTCTTTATACTTTTAGGCTCGGAAAATCAATTTGATCGACCTAAAAAAACTGGGTCTTTATATTTTTAGGCTCGGAAAATCTTTTTGGTCGACCTAAAAAAACTGGGTCTTTATTTTTTTAGGCTCGGAAAATCAATTTAATCGACCTAAAAAAACTGGGTCTTTTTATTTTTAGGCTCGGAAAATTAATTTGGTCGACCTAAAAAAACTGGGTCTTTATTTTTTTAGGCTCGGAAAATCAATTTGGTTGACCTAAAAAAACTGGGTCTTTATATTTTTGAGGCTCGGAAAGTCAATTTGATCGACCTAAAAAAATGGGTCTTTATATTTTTAGGCTCGGAAAATCAATTTGATCGACCTAAAAAAACTGGGTTTTTATATTTTTAGGCTCGGAAAATCAATTTGATCGACCTAAAAAAAACTGGGTTTTTATATTTTTAGGCTCGGAAAATCAATTTGATCGACCTAAAAAAACTGGGTCTTTATAATTTTAGGCTCGGAAAATCAATTTGGTCGACCTAAAAAAAACTGGGTCTTTATTTTTTTAGGCTCGGAAAATCAATTTGGTCGACCTAAAAAAACTGGGTCTTTATATTTTAGGCTCGGAAAATCAATTTGATCGACCTAAAAAAAACTGGGTCTTTATATTTTTAGACTCGGAAAATCAATTTGATCGACCTAAAAAAATTGGGTCTTTATACTTTTAGGCTCGGAAAATCAATTTGATCGACCTAAAAAAACTGGGTCTTTATATTTTTAGGCTCGGAAAACCTTTTTGGTCGACCTAAAAAAACTGGGTCTTTATTTTTTTAGGCTCGGAAAATCAGTTTAATCGACCTAAAAAAACTGGGTCTTTTTATTTTTAGGCTCGGAAAATCAATTTGGTCGACCTAAAAAAACTGGGTCTTTATTTTTTTAGGCTCGGAAAATCAATTTGGTTGACCTTAAAAAACTGGGTCTTTATATTTTTGAGGCTCGGAAAGTCAATTTGATCGACCTAAAAAAATGGGTCTTTATATTTTTAGGCTCGGAAAATCAATTTGATCGAACTAAAAAAACTGGGTTTTTATATTTTTAGGCTCGGAAAATCAATTTGATTGACCTAAAAAAAACTAGGTTTTTATATTTTTAGGCTCGGAAAATCAATTTGATCGACCTAAAAAAACTGGGTCTTTATATTTTTAGGCTCGGAAAATCAATTTGATTGACCTAAAAAACTGGGTCTTTATATTTTTAGGCTCGGAAAATCAATTTGATCGACCTAAAAAACTGGGTCTTTATATTTTTAGGCTCAGAAAATCAATTTGATTGACCTAAAAAAACTGGGTCTTTATATTTTTAGGCTCGGAAAATCAATTTGGTCGATCTAAAAAAACTGGGTCTTTATTTTTTTAGGCTCGGAAAATCAATTTGATCGACCTAAAAAAACTGGGTCTTTATTTTTTTAGGCTCGTAAAATCAATTTGATCGACCTAAAAAAACTGGGTCTTTATTTTTTTAGGCTCGGAAAATCAATTTGGTTGACCTAAAAAAACTGGGTCTTTATATTTTTAGGCTCAGAAAATCAATTTGATCGACCTAAAAAAAATGGGTCTTTATATTTTTAGGCTCGGAAAATCAATTTGATCGACCTAAAAAAACTGGGTTTTTATATTTTTAGGCTCGGAAAATCAATTTGATCGACCTAAAAAAAAAGGGTCTTTATATTTTTAGGCTCGGAAAATCAATTTGATCGACCTAAAAAAACTGGGTCTTTAAATTTTTAGGCTCGGAAAATCAATTTGATCGACCTAAAAAACTGGGTCTTTATATTTTTAGGCTCAGAAAATCAATTTGATTGACCTAAAAAACTGGGTCTTTATATTTTTAGGCTCAGAAAATCAATTTGATCGACCTAAAAAAACTGGGTCTTTATATTTTCAGGCTCGGAAAATCAATTTGGTCGACCTAAAAAAACTGGGTCTTTATTTTTTTAGGCTCGGAAAATCAATTTGATCGACCTAAAAAAACTGGGTCTTTTTTTTAGGCTCGGAAAATCAATTTGATCGACCTAAAAAAACTGGGTCTTTATATTTTTAGGCTCAGAAAATCAATTTGATCGACCTAAAAAAACTGGGTCTTTATATTTTTAGGCTCGGAAAATCAGTTTGGTTGACCTAAAAAAACTGGGTCTTTATTTTTTTAGGCTCGGAAAATCAATTTGATCGACTTAAAAAAACTGGGTCTTTATATTTTTAGGCTCAGAAAATCAATTTGATTGACCTAAAAAAACTGGGTCTTTATATTTTTCGGCTTGGAAAATCAATTTGATCGACCTAAAAAAACTGGGTCTTTAAATTTTTAGGCTCGGAAAATCAATTTGATCGACCTAAAGAAACTGGGTCTTTAATTTTTTAGGCTCGGAAAATCAATTTGGTCGACCTAAAAAACTGGGTCTTTATTTTTTTAGGCTCGGAAAATCAATTTGGTTGACCTAAAAAAACTGGGTTTTTATATTTTTAGGCTCGGAAAATCAATTTGATCGACCTAAAAAAAAAGGGTCTTTATATTTTTAGGCTCAGAAAATCAGTTTAATCGACCTAAAAAAACTGGGTCTTTTTATTTTTAGGCTCGGAAAATCAATTTGGTCGACCTAAAAAAACTGGGTCTTTATTTTTTTAGGCTCGGAAAATCAATTTGATCGACCTAAAAAAACTGGGTCTTTATATTTTCAGGCTCGGAAAATCAATTTGGTCGACCTAAAAAAACTGGGTTTTTATTTTTTTAGGCTCGGAAAATCAATTTGATCGACCTAAAAAAACTGGGTCTTTTTTTAGGCTCGGAAAATCAATTTGATCGACCTAAAAAAACTGGGTCTTTATATTTTTAGGCTCAGAAAATCAATTTGATCGACTTAAAAAAACTGGGTCTTTATATTTTTAGGCTCAGAAAATCATTTTGATTGACCTAAAAAACTGGGTCTTTATATTTTTCGGCTTGGAAAATCAATTTGATCGACCTAAAAAAACTGGGTCTTTATATTTTTAGGCTCGGAAAATCAATTTGATCGACCTAAAGAAACTGGGTCTTTAATTTTTTAGGCTCGGAAAATCAATTTGGTCGACCTAAAAAAACTGGGTCTTTATTTTTTTAGGCTCGGAAAATCAATTTGGTTGACCTAAAAAAACTGGGTTTTTATATTTTTAGGCTCGGAAAATCAATTTGATCGACCTAAAAAAAAGGGTCTTTATATTTTTAGGCTCAGAAAATCAATTTGATCGACCTAAAAAAACTGGGTCTTTATATTTTCAGGCTCGGAAAATCAATTTGGTCGACCTAAAAAAACTGGGTCTTTATTTTTTTAGGCTCGGAAAATCAATTTGATCGACCTAAAAAAACTGGGTCTTTTTTTTAGGCTCGGAAAATCAATTTGATCGACCTAAAAAAACTGGGTCTTTATATTTTTAGGCTCAGAAAATCAATTTGATCGACCTAAAAAAACTGGGTCTTTATATTTTTAGGCTCGGAAAATCAGTTTGGTTGACCTAAAAAAACTGGGTCTTTATTTTTTTAGGCTCGGAAAATCAATTTGATTGACCTAAAGAAACTGGGTCTTTAATTTTTTAGGCTCGGAAAATCAATTTGGTCGACCTAAAAAAACTGGGTCTTTATTTTTTTAGGCTCGGAAAATCAATTTGGTTGACCTAAAAAAACTGGGTTTTTATATTTTTAGGCTCGGAAAATCAATTTGATCGACCTAAAAAAAAGGGTCTTTATATTTTTAGGCTCAGAAAATCAATTTGATCGACCTAAAAAAACTGGGTCTTTATATTTTCAGGCTCGGAAAATCAATTTGGTCGACCTAAAAAAACTGATCCTTTATTTTTTTAGGCTCGGAAAATCAATTTGATCGACCTAAAAAAACTGGGTCTTTATATTTTTAGGCTCGGAAAATCAATTTGATCGACCTAAAGAAACTGGGTCTTTAATTTTTTAGG